TCAGTGTGTCATTGTTCTGGCCCCCCAGGTATCAGCGTGTTGTTCTGGACCCCCCAGGTATCAGTGTGTCATTGTTCTGGACCCCCCAGGTATCAGCGTGTCATTGTTCTGGACCCCCAGGTATCAGCGTGTTGTTCTGGACCCCCCAGGTATCAATGTGTCATTGTTCTGGACCCCCCAGGTATCAGTGTGTCATTGTTCTGGACCCCCCAGGTATCAGTGTGTCATTGTTCTGGACCCCCCAGGTATCAGTGTGTCATTGTTCTGGACCCCCAGGTATCAGCGTGTTGTTCTGGACCCCCCAGGTATCAGTGTGTCATTGTTCTGGGTCCCCCAGGTATCGGTGTGTCATTGTTCTGGGACCCTCCAGGTATCGGTGTGTTGTTCTGGGTCCCCCAGGTATCGGTGTGTCATTGTTCTGGGTCCCCCAGGTATCAGTGTGTCATTGTTCTGGGATCCCCAGGTATCAGTGTGTCATTGTTCTGGACCCCCAGGTATCAGCGTGTCATTGTTCTGGGTCCCCCAGGTATCAGTGTGTCATTGTTCTGGGTCCCCCAGGTATCAGTGTGTCATTGTTCTGGACCCCCAGGTATCAGTGTGTCATTGTTCTGGGTTACTCTGAACCCGGATCCCATGATTTCCAGCTCCGGCTTTGCTGTGCCAGAACACAATCACATCTCTGAGTCACTGGATGTCTGTCCTCACAGGACTCTCTGACCAGAACCAGCAGATCAGGATGGATGACTTTCCTCCGACTTTCCTGATCCGCATACTTGTTCTGGTCAGTGAATCAGGTAGTATTGCAGGCAGAATATCAGCCTGGCAGCCAGGCACCTAGCATTGTCAGAAGCAAAGACAACCCCCATGCGTCCCCTATGAGAGGTGGGCTGTAGTGGTGGGGACCCCGCTCTGTGCTCATCATTATTAATTAGACTGAGACTGCTTCTGTGTGCTATTGTTCTGGTTCATCAGAGCATGGAGCAATGCTCTGCAGTGTAGTATGTGATGGGGGGAATACTCTGCATAGTATAACACGGAGCAATGCTCTGCAACGTAGTATGTGATGGGGGGAATACTCTGCATAGTATAACATGGAGCAATGCTCTGCAACGTAGTATGTGATGGGGGGAATACTCTGCGTAGTATAACATGGAGCAATGCTCTGCAACGTAGTATGTGATGGGGGGAATACTCTGCGTATTATAACATGGAGCAATGCTCTGCAACGTAGTATATGATGGGGGGGAATACTCTGCATAGTATAACATGGAGCAATGCTCTGCAACGTAGTATATGATGGGGGGGGGGATACTCTGCATAGTATAACATGGAGCAATGCTCTGCAACGTAGTATATGATGGGGGGGAATACTCTGCATAGTATAACATGGAGCAATGCTCTGCAACGTAGTATGTGATGGGAGGGAATACTCTGCATATTATAACATGGAGCAATGCTCTGCAATGTAGTATGTGATGGGGGTAATACTCTGCATGTTATAACATGGAGCAATGCTCTGCAACGTATTATGTGATGGGAGGGAATACTCTGCATATTATAACATGGAGCAATGCTCTGCAATGTAGTATGTGATGGGAGGGAATACTCTGCATAGTATAACATGGAGCAATGCTCTGCAACGTAGTATGTGATGAAGGGAATACTCTGCGTAATATACCGTAGAGCAATGCTCTGCAACGTAATATGTGATGGGGGGAATACTCTGCATAATATAATATGGAGCAATGCTCTGCAACGTATGTGACGGGGGGAATACTCTGCAATTTATTATATCATGGAGCAATGGCCTACAGCGTAAGTAGTGATGGGTGTAATGCTCTGCATTGTATTATAATGTGGAGCAATGCTCTGCAGTGTATCATCAGATAGGTAAAATGCTCTGCAGTGTATTATGTGATGGGTGTAATGCTCTGCAGTGTATTATGGGATTGGTGTAATGGTCTGAAGTGTATCATGGGATGGGTGCAATGCTCTGCAGTGAATTATGTGATGGGTATAATGCTCTGCAGTGTTTCATGGGATGGGTGCAATGCTCTGCAGTGTTTCATGGGATGGGTGCAATGCTCTGCAAGGATGGGTGAAATAAGGAACAGTTAGAATGCTCTGCAGCTGATCCTTCCATGCATGGATTGCTTGATGGTGTTTCATGTGAAAGATGGAATGCTCTGCAGTAGGGTGGAATGCTCTGCAGTGTTGCCATGGCAGCAGTGACGCTCGCCCCCGCCAAGTCTCAGCTCTTATAACGGTGAATGGGGCCGCGGTGCACTCTGGGATTTGTAGTCCTCTCTCCGCCCCCGCTGTGCTCTGCTCACCTGTACAGACTCCATCTCCCGGATCCCTCGCGCTTAGGAACCGCTGGCCGCGCCCGATGCACCCTGGGAGTTGTAGTCCCGCTAGGCGGCGCTCCCATAAGAAGAGAGCGAAGAGAGGAGGATAGGGAACTACAAAGCCGAGGGGGCGGGGTCCGGCGGGTCGGTACGGGGTATCAGGGCTCGGTACTGACAGCCCCCGGCGGGTGAGGAGTGATGGCGGCCCCGGAGGTGGAGGAGGTGCTGCGGATCGCCAGAAAACTGGATAAGATGGTGACCAAGAAGAGCATGGCGAGTCCCCCCATATTACTGCACGGGGGAGGGGAGCACTGGGGGGCAGGGCCTGACATCACACGGGGGGGAGGGGTCATGTAGGGGGGGGAGATGTCAGGGGGGCTCCGGACATTAGGGGTCATGGAGTGGTGGCGGCCGGGTGGGGTGGGGGGGGGGGGGGGGGGGGGGGGGTCCAGCTCTGAGAGCAGGGATTGCATTCATCAGCCTCAGGGAGTGAAGGACTACAAGTACCAGCACCCCCCCTTTCAATCATTATTGCATTAGTGAGGGAGGTGCAATCTTCTGCAGGTTAGAGGGTGCAATGCTCTGCAGGATGAAATGGTTGGCAGTCTTCTGCAGGGCACAGTATGGGTGCGATGTCCTGCAGATCATGGTGAAGGTGCGAAGTCCTGCAGGGGCTGGGCACAGTAATGTTCTGTGGAGCACCGTGACTATGCGATGTTCTGCAGGGCACAGGGAAGATGCATTTTCCTGCAGATCTCAGGGTGCAATGTCCTGCAGGGCACAGTGAAGGTGCAATGTGCTGCAGGACACAGTGATGGTGCAATGCCCTGCAGGGCACAGTGAAGGTGCGATGATCTACAAGGCACAGTATGGGTGCAGGGTTCCTCCAGGGCACAGTTGAGGGTGCAATGTTCTGCGAGGCACAGTAAAGGTTCAAGGACCTGCAGGGCAGAGTATGGGTGCAATGTTCTTGCAGGGTGCAAAGATCTGCAGGACAAAGAGGAGGCACGGTGTTCTTCAGGGCAGGGAGAGGTTGCAATGTTCTGCAGGTTACAGTGAGGGTGCAATGTACTTCAGGGTAAAGTGTATGTAGGGGTGGAAGTGTTCTCTGGAGCACAGTAAAGGTGCAATGTTCTGCAGAGCACAGAGAGGGTGCAGTGTTGTGATAAGAGGGGGGAGGGGTTCGTCAGGGTCCAGCCCACACCTTGGGGATCACACTCGCAGGTATAATGAAGGGTTTACTATTTTACTGAGTAAACTATCATGGAGCAATGCTCTGCAGAATTCTGTAAGGGAACAGTGTTCTGCATGGCAGATTGGGAAGGTGCAAGCCTCTGCAGGTGCATTGAGGGTGAAATCTTCTGCAGAGTTTCAGAGTGCTGTGTGAAGTTTTGCCCTTATATTATGGGGAAGCAACGTTCAGCAGAATGTACTACAAAGGAGCAATGCTCTGCGCAGTATATTCTGCGGGGTATATTGTTAGGGTGCCTGGCTTCAGTATGTCCCATGCAACGCTCTGCAGGGAATACTGTGATGCTGCAACGCTCTGCAGGGAATACTGTGATGCTGCAACGCTCTGCAGGGAATACTGTGATGCTGCAATGCTCTGCAGGGAATACTGTGATGCTGCAACGCTCTGCAGGGAATACTGTGATGCTGTAATATTCTGCAAAGCATGTTGCGATGCTCTGCAGGGGGAAGCGCCTGACCAAGCATAGTGACCATTAAACAAGTGGGCCTTGCTGGATCTTGTAGTCCCCCTGCTCTGCCAGTAGATCTGATTGGCTGTAGATCGACCCCATAATGCAGACTGACACTGGCAGACCGCCGACAGGAGGTGGGAGAATTGTGAGCTGACTGGCTGCTGTGGTGCTGGCATGCCCTGGCCTCTTCCTGCGTGGCATGCTGGGACTTGTAGTTCACCAGCAGCTGCAGCCTGCTCTCTACCAAAGGATCTGGAGAAGATTCTGTGTTGGGGTTTTGTTCCTCAGGTTTATAGGGATTGTCTTTCTCGGTGATCCAATCAGATTAGAGCTGTCATTTTCTGATGGGTGGAGCCATGTCTGAGTCCCCCATACTCCTTGGGGATGTGCGACCCTCCCGAAGGGAAATGAGGTTCCTCTGACTCAGGGGTGGTCTGGTTTCTTCATATGGGGGGCCTCTAGTGCGGCTCTCCACTTCACTTCATCAAAGGACCAAAATTCAATGATAATTCGGTCTCAAAGACAGCAGACACACAACTGGGTATAAGCAAAGACTGCGGACATGATACAGGAGATGGTCAGAGACTGTGGACAGGATACAGGAGATGGTCAGAGACTGTGGACAGGGTACAGGAGATGGTCAGAGACTGCGGACAGGGTACAGGAGATGGTCAGAGACTGTGGACAGGGTACAGGAGATGGTCAGAGACTGCGGACATGATACAGGAGATGGTCAGAGACTACGGACATGATACAGGAGATGGTCAGAGACTGCGGACATGATACAGGAGATGGTCAGAGACTGCGGACAGGGTACAGGAGATGGTCAGAGACTGCAGACAGGATACAGGAGATGGTCAGAGACTGCGGGCATGATACAGGAGATGGTCAGAGACTGCGGACAGGGTACAGGAGATGGTCAGAGACTGCGGACATGATACAGGAGATGGTCAGAGACTGCAGACATGATACAGGAGATGGTCAGAGACTACGGACATGATACAGGAGATGGTCAGAGACTGTGGACAGGGTACAGGAGATGGTCAGAGACTGCGGACAGGGTACAGGAGATGGTCAGAGACTGCGGACAGGGTACAGGAGATGGTCAGAGACTGCAGACAGGATACAGGAGATGGTCAGAGACTGCGGGCATGATACAGGAGATGGTCAGAGACTGCGGACAGGGTACAGGAGATGGTCAGAGACTGCGGACAGGGTACAGGAGATGGTCAGAGACTGCGGGCATGATACAGGAGATGGTCAGAGACTACGGACAAGATACAGGAGATGGTCAGTAGCTGCGGACAGGATACAGGAGATGGTCAGAGACAGCGGACAGAGTACAGGAGATGGTCAGAGACTGCGGACAGGATACAGGAGATGGTCAGAGACTGCGGACAGGGTACAGGAGATGGTCAGAGACTGCGGACAGGGTACAGGAGATGGTCAGAGACTGCGGACAGGGTACAGGAGATGGTCAGAGACTGCGGACAGGGTACAGGAGATGGTCAGAGACTGCGGACAGGGTACAGGAGATGGTCAGAGACTACGGACAAGATACAGGAGATGGTCAGAAACTGCGGACAGGATACAGGAGATGGTAAGAGACTGCGGACAGGGTACAGGAGATGGTCAGAGACTGCGGACAGGGTACAGGAGATGGTCAGAGACTGCGGACAGGGTACAGGAGATGGTCAGAGACTGCGGACAGGGTACAGGAGATGGTCAGAGACTGCGGACAGGGTACAGGAGATGGTCAGAGACTGCGGGCATGATACAGGAGATGGTCAGAGACTGCGGACAGGGTACAGGAGATGGTCAGAGACTACGGACAAGATACAGGAGATGTCCAGAGACTGTGGACAGGGTACAAGAGATGGTCAGAGACTGCGGACAGGGTATAGGAGATGTCCAGAGACTGCGGACAGGGTACAGGAGATGGTCAGAGACTGCGGACAGGGTACAGGAGATGGTCAGAGACTGGACAGGGTACAGGAGATGGTCAGAGACTGGACAGGGTACAGGAGATGATCAGAGACTGGACAGGATGCAAGAGTTGGTTGGAGACTGGGAACATGCTTCAAGAGAGTCATAGATTGGAGACACATTACATGAGACTGCTAGAGCTCCCTGCTATAACTGGGCAATAGGGAAACACATTTTAGTGTCAACAAGGGCCACGAGGGCTGCAGTTTGGGCTCCAGGGCTGTAGATCCAGAATTTCTTGGTTGACATTGGTTGGAAGTTTTGGGGCCACAAGCACAGTACCGGGCCACGCCAGGGAGTTTTTGGACATGGCTTACTGTTGGCTGGTCAGGTGACCCCCCTGTCCTCCCCTTTGCCTGGCCCACTGTGGTGTAGTCCTTTCCTTCGATCGATGCCATTGGAAGTCACGTGGGTATCAAACGTTGGCCAGATCTCTGTACAATTTGTGGAAACCAGGGGAGCATCTTCCCACACCGAGCCGGAGCCCAATTAGCCCGACCCCTCGCTGTGCAGAGTTGCTGTTAAACTAATCTACACACACGTATGGGCCCCAGGAGCGGTCAGGAAGGGGCCCTTAGTGGAGTCTGGCAGGAAGTTCCAGGTCCACATCCTATGGCCAGGCAAAGGGAGATCCGGGTCTGGCCTGTTCCCTGTGTACTCTAGACGTAATCAGTGGCTGATTGTGGACTTGGATGGTGAGGATGGCTGCGGCCCCCTACAGAGGTGTCACCGCTCTCCTTTTTCTCTGGCAGGACGGGGCGCTGGATCTGCTCAATCAGCTGAAGAACATGTCGATGTCTCTGGACTTGCTGCAGGTAGGAGATCACATTTATAAGTCGCGTCATTACTTCCGTGTCAGAGGACCGCCCACTGTGGATTTCAGGAGGCTGGCCGCATTCTCCCTAAAGTTCGGCCCGAAAATTGGCAAGAACTGGGCAACGTTCGTTTCATGTGTACAGCCATCTGTTTTACAGAAGCCAGTCTAACGACTGGATTCTGACAAGCAGGCATGCTGGAAAACGCTGAGATAGAGGAACCAAGCGCTGCTGTATTACTCCTCGAGTGACCACAATGCCTGTTCTGTTTCAGTCCACTCGGATCGGCATGTCGGTGAACGCGCTGAGAAAACAAAGCGATGATGAAGAGGTGATCACTCTGTCCAAATCTCTGATCAAGTCCTGGAAGAAGCTGCTGGGTAAGACGGGTCTTCTATGTCCTCCATTCATCTGTGTCCTCCATTCATCTATGTCCTCCATTCTTCTGTGTCCTCCATTCTTCTGTGTCCTCCATTCATCTATGTCCTCCATTCATCTGTGTCCTCCATTCATCTGTGTCCTCCATTCATCTGTGTCCTCCATTCATCTATGTCCTCCATTCATCTATGTCCTCCATTCTTCTGTGTCCTCCATTCTTCTGTGTCCTCCATTTCATCTATGTCCTCCATTCATCTGTGTCCTCCATTCATCTGTGTCCTCCATTCATCTGTGTCCTCCATTCATCTGTGTCCTCCATTCATCTGTGTCCTCCATTCATCTGTGTCCTCCATTCTTCTGTGTCCTCCATTCATCTGTGTCCTCCATTCTTCTGTGTCCTCCATTCTTCTGTGTCCTCCATTCTTCTGTGTCCTCCATTCTTCTGTGTCCTCCATTCTTCTATGCCCTCCATTCTTCTATGCCCTCCATTCATCTGTGTCCTCCATTCATCTGTGTCCTCCATTCATCTGTGTCCTCCATTCATCTGTGTCCTCCATTCATCTGTGTCCTCCATTCATATGTGTCCTCCATTCATCTGTGTCCTCCATTCTTCTGTGTCCTCCATTCTTCTGTGTCCTCCATTCTTCTGTGTCCTCCATTCTTCTGTGTCCTCCATTCTTCTGTGTCCTCCATTCATCTGTGTCCTCCATTCTTCTATGCCCTCCATTCTTCTATGCCCTCCATTCTTCTATGCCCTCCATTCTTCTATGTCCTCCATTCTTCTACGTCCTCCAAGCTTGGGGTGAAGGTGTATCAAAACCCCAAAACAACAATGTAGTGTGTTGTAGTTTACCAGTCCCTAGATGTGGTGGCTGCAATAGTTTTTATTATTTTTTTTTTCAGGTTTTGTTTCCTTTTTTTCTGTCTGGTGATCCTGCCGGTAACACACCTTCTGTTCTAGTGTGATCTGTGGAACAAAAGGGCCGTGGACTTTTTTAGGGCCTATAGTAGTTGCCTCCACAAAAAACTTCATAAAATCATTAAGTTTATTAACCTCTTGCCGTCTGTCTGTTGTATATAAACGGCCGGACGGTGGCAGTCCAGGGGTGGGTTGCCTTTCATAAACGGCACCCGCCATTATGGACTGTGCGCGCTCCCTGGGAGGACGCAGCACCGCGATCCGGTGCCCGCTGTGTCCTCCAGACACAGTGGAACACCGATCATCGTATGGGACCTCTGTGCGAGGTCCCGATCATGTGATCACTGATTGGCCAATCAGTGATCACATGCAGAGTAGTAAGCAAGATGTCACTTCTGACATCATTGCTTACTACATGTGAAATCTATGAATGATCACAGAGGTCACATGGTACAAGGCTATTCACAACAGCCTTGTACCATGTGACAAGCTGTGACCAATCACAGCTCTCACAGTATTTCTCAAAGGTTGCAAGAGTGCAGCCAGAGAGAAGGAGAAATGATTGATTTTACAGCCTTTATGGGCGTAAAAGCAATCCGTGTAAAAAAAAAAAAAAAAAAAAAAAAAAATCTTCATCACCCCCCACAAGTATTACAGTGTCACCATGGTGACACTGTACTACTTGTGGGGGGTGATGAAGATTTTTTTTTTGGCCTGGACTGGAAGGGGGTGAAAGTGGACTGGAAGGGGGTGAAAGTGGACTGGAAGGGGGTGAAAGTGGACTGGAAGGGGGTGAAAGTGTCTGGACTGGAAGGGGGTGAAAGTGTCTGGACTGGAAGGGGGTGAAAGTGTCTGGACTGGAAGGGGGTGAAAGTGTCTGGACTGGAAGGGGGTGAAAGTGTCTGGACTGGAAGGGGGGAAAGTGTCTGGACTGGAAGTAGGGGGAAAGTGTCTGGACTGGAAGTAGGGGAAAGTGTCTGGACTGGAAGTAGGGGAAAGTGTCCGGACTGGAAGTGGGGGAAAGTGTCCGGACTGGAAGTGGGGGAAAGTGTCCGGACTGGAAGTGGGGGAAAGTGTCCGGACTGGAAGGGGGGGAAAGTGTCCGGACTGGAAGGGGGGGAAAGTGTCCGGACTGGAAGGGGGGGAAAGTGTCCGGACTGGAAGGGGGGGAAAGTGTCCGGACTGGAAGGGGGGGAAAGTGTCCGGACTGGAAGGGGGGGAAAGTGTCCGGACTGGAAGGGGGGGGGGAAAGTGTCCGGACTGGAGGGGGGGAAAGTGTCCGGACTGGAAGGGGGGGAAAGTGTCCGGACTGGAAGGGGGGGAAAGTGTCCGGACTGGAAGGGGGGGAAAGTGTGCGGACTGGAAGGGGGGGAAAGTGTGCGGACTGGAAGGGGGGGAAAGTGTCCGGACTGGAAGGGGGGGAAAGTGTCTGGACTGGAAGGGGGGGAAAGTGTCTGGACTGGAAGGGGGGGAAAGTGTCCGGACTGGCAGGGGGGGGGGGGGGGAAAGCGTCCGGACTGGAAGTGGTTTTTAAGGGATAGTGTATACAGAGTTCATAGTAATGTAGAGTCCACTGATATACAGACAGATACACGGAAACCATAGAATTTTTCTTTGCGCACCGTATTTATTGGAGTGTTTACAAGAATTGTAACCAATGACAGGCACTCATCTGTGGTAAAGAAGAACGGTCTGTATTGCCCCACAGCCCACAATCGGGTCATGGTTACAAGTATGGTTGGCCACATTGTGGTAATACAGACTGTTTGAAGGCTCTTTATTAAACGCGACCCACCACAACCTTTTCTGTTTCTCCTGTAGACGGCTCAGACCAGCGGGGAAAGGACAAGAGCCCGAGCTCCTCCTCTTCCTCCTCCAAGGAGCCCAGGTACCTATGTTGCTCCTCCTACCATGACTCTAGGCAGTGCATTGTCATTTGTTTTTAGATGGGGCTGAGAACCTTGCCATTGGACGGTGCGGCTGAAGACCCTCTGTACTCATTTTTCAGTTCGGCTAAGAAGCCTGAATCTCCAAAAACACCAACCACTCCAAAGATGACCCGATTTCCCCCTCTTCCCGTCACCTCAGACTCTGTGCGGACCAAGTGTAGAGAGATGTTAACTGCCGCCCTGCAGACCGATGGTAAAGCAAGCCCAGTATTCATGTCGTTTGTTTGCTTCTGTGTGTGGCCAGCTCTTTGCCATATGATTGACAGGTGACGTGAATGATGGGAGACATCTCCCTAAATCCTCTGATTGTTGAAGAGCAGGTCATCCGTGTATGTAAAAGAACATCGTTTTTAGTTTTAGATAGAGAGGGCAATGTTTATGTTCTGTCTGTGTCCTGTTGGGGAGAATTTCCTTTACATCCTTCCCTACAGATACAACAGGGAGTAGAACCGGAACCACCTTCAATGTGTTGTGTTGCCAGCGCTGGTGGATCCAGCTTTCCTCGCTAGTCCCCCTACATTGGAGGATTACAGGTCTGCTTCCCTCAAGAAGGATTACAGCAGGATGGATACATGAACACTCCCACTCTATACAAGTAATTGGTGATCAGTGTTAACCTCTTCCCGCTGTATGATTGGCTGTCACAGTGGTCACATGATTGGAAAGCTCCCAATGGCAAGTAGATATCAGGAGCCTTCTGTTACCCGCCGGGAGTGTCTCGGCACAGCATTGTTTTTGTTCCTGTTGTATTTTGTTTGCATTGTTTTTTATGCTGCCTGTCGACGTTAAAGCCCACCCACCGAGAGAACACACACACACATATATATATATATATGTGGTCCCTCGGTGGGTGGGCTTTAATGTCAACAGGCTGCATACAAAACAATGCAAACAAAATACAACACTAACAAAAACAATGCTGTGCCGAATCTTAAAGGGACAAGAGGCAGCAGTGGGAAGGGGTTAAGCACTGATTCACCTGCTGACATTTAGTGGCTATTTTTTCACAGATGTTCATCACACTTGGTATTTAAAAGTTTATTGAAATAGACAGTTCACAAGTGGAGAGTAAAGCCTACTCATTTCGGCGGAAGTGCCTCCCCCCTTTGTCAGGGCTGTAATGGTGGGTATGGTCGGGGCTGTGATGGTGTGTCTGGTGGGGGCTGTGATGATGAGTGTGGTCGAGGCTGTGATGGTGGCCGTGGTCAGGGCTGTGATGGTGGGTTATGGTCGGGGCTGTGATGGTGGCCGTGGTCGGGGCTGTGATGGTGGGGCCGTGGTCAGGGCTGTGATGGTGGGTTATGGTCGGGGCTGTGATGGTGGGTTATGGTCGGGGCTGTGATGGTGGGTTATGGTCGGGGCTGTGATGGTGGCCGTGGTCGGGGCTGTGATGGTGGGTTATGGTCGGGGCTGTGATGGTGGGTTATGGTCGGGGCTGTGATGGTGGTCACAGACCTGGAACCGAAAGTCAACTCCAATAGGGCCCTTTAGGTGTTGTCAAATAGCGGAGAACCGGCAAAGAACGCCATACCAGTTTACTGCTATTTGACAGCACCAAAAGGGCCCTCTTGGAGTTGACTTTCGGTTCCAGGTCAGTCCCGACCATACCCACCATCACAGCCCCGACCATAACCCACCATCACAGCCCCGACCATAACCCACCATCACTGCCCCGACCATAACCCACCATCACAGCCCCGACCATAACCCACCATCACAGCCCCGACCATAATCCACTATCACAGCCCCGACCATAACCCACCATCACTGCCCCGACCATAACCCACCATCACTGCCCCGACCATAACCCACCATCACAGCCCCGACCATAACCCACCATCACAGCCCCAACCAACCATCACAGCCCCGACCATAACCCACCATCACAGCCCCGACCATAACCCACCATCACAGCCCCGACCATAACCCACCATCACAGCCCCGACCATAACCCACCATCACAGCCCCGACCATAACCCACCATCACAGCCCCGACCATAACCCACCATCACAGCCCCGACCATAAACCACCATCACAGCCCGACCATAACCCCCATCACAGCCCCGACCATAACCCACCATCACAGCCCCGACCATAACCCACCATCACAGCCCCGACCATAACCCACCATCACAGCCCCGACCATAACCCACCATCACAGGCCCGACCATAACCCACCATCACAGGCCCGACCATAACCCACCATCACAGGCCCGACCATAACCCACCATCACAGCCCCGACCATAACCCACCATCACAGCCCCGACCATAACCCACCATCACAGCTCTGATGAAGGGGAAGGCACTACTCCTGAAACTGCCTTCCTGCATTGGTGGTACTCTCCTCCTATGAAATGTTTCTTTTTCAATAGCTTTTTATTACTAACTTCATGTGTGATGAACGCTCTATACCAAGTGTGTCTCTACACCCATCCAAGTCTAGTTTGCAGAGCGATTTTCCATCGCTACCAGAGAGCCAGGAGCCAAGACCCTGAGGCCAACCGTAGACGGTTCAAATCTCGGCTGTTTCCTGCTGAGACGGCCAAGATCCAAACTATGTATGGGAAGGCTGAATGTACCCAAGTTGATCAACTTGGGTATAACCAGCCTGCTGGGTTTTACATGTGACATTTGCTAGCCGCAGCTATGGCTGCTAGCAATAATCACGGTCTTCTCCCAGCAGGGATGGCTTCCCCCACTGAGAGAACACAATGGCTCTGCGGGAGGGATTCCTTTTGGCAATGTTGTCTATGTTGATAGGGGAATCAAGCGAATTTCTTTCCTGCAACCCATGTTATAGAATTGTTGCTTTCTGGACATTGGTTAGAATTCTCGGGCAGGCGCAGAGATCTCCTGACTGTTTGAATTGTTTTTTCTACTGCCTGATAATAAGGGCTGTTATTTCTAGAGATGACTGCAGTTAACGTTTCTACAATACATATTCAGACTGCTGTGTTCTCTGAGCTTCACATCTGTCTTCAGATCTTAACTTCTTGCAGTGTGGACCTCTCAGACGTGGCCTAGTGTTCCCTTGCCTCAGGAAAATCGATGCCTTGTTGTGGGTGAAGTAACTACCCCTGTCCTCTGACTTCATCTATATCTCATCCTTCCAGGAGATCACATTGCGATTGGTTCAGATTGTGAGCTGTTGGCAGCCCAGATCGAGGAGAATATCCTTTTCAATGCTGTGCTCTTGGCTGGGGCAGAGGTAGGCTGAATACACGTACATTGCAGCACATGTAGTAGTAAAGAAAAAAGAATGTTCATTGTCAATATTTTGGGTTGTTATGAATGTTTTCGATAAAGGCGTCTCTTAGGTTTACCATACACATTACATTCTGATTACAGCCCTTTAGATCTACCCACAACTGTCTTGTATGGGCCTATCTGTTTGCATACAGATTCGGCAGACCCTCACAGTACCTGGTTTGGGTAAATCTAAAGGAGACTGTATAGAGATTGGGATGTGTATGGGCAGGGAAGTTCCAGCAGCCTGGCATCCCAAGTAATGAAACTGAATAGCCGGAGTTGTCAGATGAAAGTCAGAGATTTCCCAGCTATGCCCAAGAATCCCGAACTGCCTAAAGCAGGTGGGTTGTTACAGTGCTGCCCCCCCCCCCCCCCCGTATCCCTCCCCCCAGTTTACTGCAGAGACTCGGGGTCCCTTCACACTGGCGATTCCATCAGGTTCACCTATAAGTTTTTCAGGCAGACCTGATCGAAAGCTCTATTCAGCCCCATGGACGGGTGAATATAAACAGACTTGTGTCCGTTTACACCTGCCTACCTATGAGCCCGTCCAGGTCTGGAAAAAAAATGAAATAGGACTGTGCCCTTTTCTGTTTTTCATCACCAAAACATGACAGATCAGAGGTAACATGATGTCAATGAACAGAGACCATCAATATCAGGCCACCCATTGTGCTGTCACGGGTCCACCTGTGTCTGCTGGGCACAAACCAAACGGGTCAAAGCACTGACATCCATCCCATTCTGCTCACGGATCCCCTGCTGATCAGAATGTTCTTCTCTTCATGTGAATGGGCCCTTGGGGGTTGTGAATGATCCAGCTGTGCCTGTTATCCAGAGCCACAGTTCTTTTCTCCTAAAGGATAAGTTTACCTTTTTTGAAGATTATTAAAAAAATAATAAAGGCAGTTTTTTTTTTTTTTTTTTTTTTTTTGCAGATACAAAATGTGCATTTATTATTGTTTTTGTGATGAACCTGCAAAGCATCAGCAGATCATGGGTGCAATATCAGGCTCCTGCAGGTTTCCAGAATAGCTGTCTGCCTGTAGCTCTGATATGGGCAGGCAGTTACTTGAGAGCAGGAAGACCAAGGAACTTCGAGAACATTCACCAGCGCCCTCGTAGTTAATTGAGAACTGGAAGTCAACAGCTTCAATGGTACTTGTAATCTATTCATTTACAGGAAACTGTAACCAAATAAAATGGCCAGCGGGCGGCAGAGCCCCGCACAGCAACACTGTTTTCAAATTGTGACAGTGGGAATGGGGAGAAGATCCCCCGCCCACCATTGTCACGGGAGGGAGGGAATCAGGGGGAGAGGGGGTGTATATAGTTACATAGTTAGTCTGGCTGAAAAAAGACAAATGTCCATCCAGTACATGTTACACCCAAAATACATTCAGCCTTTAAAGGACAGCTTCACTTTTGGGTGTGGCGTATGATTAAAAAGAGGGCGGGAGGGGGAATGGTCCTTTTTTTTTATATAAATGTTATAATTGGCCATTTGACCCTCTTCAAGGTGAAGTCATGCAGTCCAGTTGACGTGGAGACATGATGAAACGTGTTGTCTCTCTAGCTCTCCGAGCAACACACATTAAATGCATGTAGATGCAGACCAGGGGAGGACTGACGGCTCATGGGGCCCCTGGGATCCTTGACCACACTCAAAAAAGCCTTTAAATAGGTGCCAGGGGCATTTTATGGGGCCCCCTACTGACCCCGGGCCCTCGGGCAGTGCCCGAGTGCTCTAATGGTCAGTCTGCCCCTGATGCAGACTGCATATATTAATGCATGAGCCCTGATTGGCTGAGTGCCATCTGTCTACAGCTTTGTTATGACATACCTCGAGTGCGGCGGTGCCTTTGCTGAGAATGTCCGCCAAGTCCAAGGCAGAGCAAATAGAGACGACACATGAGCTCTGTAAGCTGCACCAGATCTGCCAAGAAGTACAATTGGCACTTTGCCTTTTATATAGCTTGGGTGCCACTTGCGGGGCCTTGCTTACATAAGTTATCGATCTCTTCTGTTATCGAACCCTTAACTGTCCTCACTAGTCTATGGAGAGGTGCAAAACACCGACATGAAATACAAGAACCGGATCCGAAGCCCGAAGCCGAATCGCCAATTTGAAAGACTCAAAGAATCCAGATTTAAGAAAGAATGTGCTGTGCGGCGCTATCACCCCGAAGCAGATTGCTGTCATGACCTGTGAGGTGGGTGTGCACTGATTTGGAGGTTAGTAATGATCATTCTTTGACATTTATTTTCCATGAAATTTCTTCAAAAGGGAAGTATGGGTTTAACCGCCTCCCACCCGCCATATAAGGAAATGACGGGCGCAAGGCGGTTCTCTCGTTCTGGGAGGACGTCATATTTTCCATGAAGTTTCCTTGAAAGGGAAGTATGGGGTTTAAAGGGGCTAGTTTAGTTTTCGGGGTTAAGACCTCTCAACCAAGGAGTGAGATAAAAGTAGCTGTGAGCCCTAAATAAGTCCCATAAAAGCGCTGTATGTCCTAAACATTTATATAAACTCCTCCCCACTCTTTTTTTTTTTTTTAATCCTTGTTTTCCCAGAGCTGCTGACCTCCTGTAGCCTCTTTACAGATGCACTGCAGCTATGGTTGCATGCAATTTTCGAAGTACGAGTTCCTGATGGTGACAACCATGGACCATGCATGCGGAATATGTGTTGAAATGGTCAAGTGTAGTCTCCATCACAAGCCAGTGTGACAGGGTGACAATGCAGGAGCACAGCTGGCAAACAGGTACAGAGCGTTGTCACTCTATAACAGGAAGTATCTTAACCAGGACCCTCATGGCAGGTTTACAAAGTATTTCTTTAATAGAAGCTGCAGATTTATTAATTATTGAATAACTTTTGAAATTACTTTAACATCACAAAGATTTTAGTAATTGGGTTTACATCTAAGCTGCTCAACTGACCCCAGGAGTCCAGTGTTGAGGAACAGCCATTCCTCAGCATTGGACTCCTGGGGCTGGTTTAGCAGCATCCATCCCTTCATTTGTATTGGCTGACACTGGAATGGCTCGGACTCGCGCTCCCCTCTTCTTACTTGCCGGTGGGGTGATCCTTTTCCTTCCATCCATAGCTTGGAGCGGCGCCATAGGGCCTACATCGAATTTAAGAAAAGGGGATTACTGCAAGGTGATGGTGGGGGTGTAGACGCTTTGGGTAATCTGAACTTGATGGGGTTTGTAGTTCTCCAACAACTAGCAGCCTACCTGTTTTGCCAGTGTAGTGTCCTTTTTATTTCTTTAACTTCCAGGAAATGGCAAGCAACGAGCTGAAGGAAATGAGGAAAGCCATGACCAAGGCAGCCATTCAGGAGCATCAGATGGCAAAGACTGGAGGAACGCAGACCGATCTGTTCACATGCGGCAAATGCAAGAAGAAAAACTGCACCTATACCCAGGTAAGTGCTGGGTGCACCTGGCCTGGGGAACCACTAGAAGGCTCTGCTGGATGTGACTTCACAACAAAGAGCCTGGCGGACGGAAGCTTGTTATGGCCGTCTTCTGGCTTTTTTTGTTTTTCACATAATTATAATGATTTTGTTTTCTGCTGAGGTGGAGGTTATTTTTATTTTAAAAAATGTTTTTTTGTGTGCTTTTTGATGAAGTGCTGGAACAGTGACACCTTCTAAAATGTACTTGAAGCAGGATGTAGCATTTTATGTACAAATAAAGTGCAGCTTTCTGGCACTTCATCCTTTGCCTTCTGCTCACACAATGCATTTCTTTATATACTCTTTACAAATGTGTGTATGTTATCCCTGCCCCACTTCACTCCACATGTGCTGATGCTCATCCCAGGCTTCTGTCCTAACCCCTTTACAGCCACGCTATAGATGAAAGACGGCTACAGTACAGTTGTCCAGTTCTGACAGGGCGTCATATGACATCCTCCCAGAATGCGCGCCACCCCCCGCACGCCCCCAGCAGCACGTACCCTGCACTGTCAGTGAGCTCTATGTCCTACGGACACAGCTGAACACATGACTAGGTAAAAGGCCAATCACGGTGACCTTTTACCACGTGATCAGCTGTGTCCAATAACACAGATCACAAAGTAAACACAGTTGCCAGTTATCAGCAGCACTTTTCTCATGCTGTCACAGTCAGGCAGTCAGTGCTTTGTTTGTATCCGCCCATCAATGCTGCCTATCAGTGCCTATCATTGCTGCATATCAGTGCAGCATCATCAATGCCCATCAGTGCCACCTCATCAGTGCCTATCATTGCTAAATATCAGTGCCTCCTCATCAATGCCCATCAGTCCCACCTCATCAATGCCCATCATTGCTGCATATCAGTGCAGCATCATCAATGCCCATCAGTGCCACCTCATCAGTGCCTATCATTGCTAAATATCAGTGCCTCCTCATCAATGCCCATCAGTCCCACCTCATCAATGCCCATCATTGCTGCATATCAGTGCAGCATCATCAATACCCACCAGTGCCACCTCATCAGTGCCCATCATTGCTAAATATCAGTGCAGAATCATCAGTGCCTCCTCATCAATGCCCATCATTGCTGCATATCAGTGCAGCATCATCAATGCCCACCAGTGCCACCTCATCACTGCCCATCATTTTGAATATCAGCGCAGAATCATCAGTGCCTCCTCATCAATGCCCACCAGTGCCACCTAGGGGTGCCCATCATTGCTGAATATCAGTGCAGAATCATTAGTGCCTCCTCATCAGTGCCCATCATTGCTAAATATCAGTGCCCATCATTGCTAAATATCAGTGCCCATCTTTGCTGTATATCAGTGCAGCATCATCAGTGCCTCCTCATCAATGCCCATCAGAGCTGCCTATCAGTGCTGCCTCATCAACGCACATCAGTGAAGAAGAAAAATTACCTGTTTGCAAAATTTTATAATAAAAACAGAAACTTTTTTTTTTTTTTTTTTTTTTAATTTCTTGCTCCTTTTTCTGTTTATAGTGCAAAAAAAGTAAAAACCCCAGCGGGGGTTAAATACCACCAAAAGAAAGCTCTATTTGTGTGAAAAAATGATAAAAATGTCATATGGGTACAGTGTTGCATGACCGCGCAATTGTCGTTCAAAGTGCAACAGAACTGAAAGCTGAAAAGTGGCCTGGGCAGGAAGGGGGTGACAGTGCTTGGTAGGCAGGTGGTTAAACCCTTCCAAACTCACTGGTTGATGCCTAATGTCTGCACATGTGCTGAAAAATCCCATTCACTTTTATGAAAAGGCTGACTACATTTCCAAATTGTTGGCATTTTTTTATACATGCACAGAAGAGGTGAGGAACCATGTGTGCTGCACAGCGAGGTTCTGACAGGAGTTTTTCTTTTAATCCTGTACGAAGCTTATACTGGCCAATATAACAGGTTCACTTTACTGCATGGCGTAAAAGCAGTGTGTACAGGACCGGGTTTACAGATGCTGTTGTCTTCCACCAGCCCACCTAAGATTCCACCAACCCACCTAACTGCACAGGTTTCATCTTTCTTGCACACTCTACCTGTGGCCATGTGACCTTGTTGGGAGCTGATGACTGGCCGCTCAGACACCAAGGGGTGCATTGTGGGAAGACAGGGGACATGTCATTGTGCGTCTCCTTGGGTGGGCTAGGGGCAAAGTGGTGAGGAATCACGTGTTCTCTGTATGAGCGAAGTACAGGTTCTCCTAAAGATGAAGTCACGAGCACCAGGGGGCATTAGGTAAATGGTACAATGTGGGGGGACATAATATAATACAGAGGGGTACCACCTTTGAGTATATGTACAAACATTGAAAAATGTCAATATTATGTGTTCAGAAATGTGCATCTCTCTCTCTTTTAGGTGCAAACACGAAGCGCTGATGAACCAATGACCACATTTGTTGTGTGCAATGAGTGTGGAAACCGCTGGAAAGTAAGTTTTTAATTGCTCATTTCTACATTGCTTTCAAATGTTTAATTCTGACTCCGGCCAAAACGTCATATCGCCATCATACAGTCCGGGGCACAGGACTTGTATTCATAGACCACAGGTCTACCCTCAGGTGATGGGCGCTGACAAAAACATTTTACCTCCTAGAGCGTACCTATGTAACCCCACCCACTACGCGAGGCTTGTGTGTGGCTTTTTTTTTTTTTCTGCTAGCGTCCTTAGGTGATGGACTTGTTTTTGTAGAAATATTTTTCTTTTCTAAATCATTGAACATTTGTTTTCCCATCTGAAACTTCTAACAACATCTATCTGCTTATTGTCTTGCACTACCGAGCAGTTTCCAAATTGGTTACCCTCGGTGCGTACCTTGGGCACCATACCTACCCCACTACGTGGTGTCAGCCTGTAATGTTTAACCTCTTCGTGCCGGCCTCACGCAAAAATGTGCGGCCTCCTGGCATCTGGGCCTTGACGCCGAGCGGCCGCACATTTGCGTGCAATTAAGAAAAACATACGTGCTAAGAGCACACGCCCTGCGCGCTCCCAGCACACTTGTCCGGTACTCACCGAAAGGTCCCGATCTCCTCTTTCGATCGGGACCTTTCCCGATCATGTGACAGCGAATCACGGCGGTCACATGACCCTAAAACCCCGCCTCCCGGCTTCTGAAACCCTTAAAGGGCTGGGAGGCGCCGGTGCCAAGGAGTTAATGTTTAGGCACTGGATCCGATGATAAACATTTACTTTGGTGTGAAGTTTGCTTCAGGGCTGCATTCGTTTTGTTGCTGAAAATATTTTCGTCAGGGTTTTCATCAGCGGGATGTTTTCAGTGTCGAAAACCTATAATGAAAATCAATTCCAATTTTTGTCAACAAACAAAAACAGAACGAAAGTATGAGGGAGGGATGTTGATCCACGTGAACTTCCGCTTTCCTCGGAGCTCCGCCTCTAAAGCCTGCAAACCACGTGGTGAGTGTCTCCCCTCCCAGCAAGGAAGCCATGCTTAGAGCGGCGTGCTTAGCACTGTGTATTACAGCCTCCCCAGACCGCCCAATTCTCTCACCCTGTGCACTCCCTCACTTCCATAATTAATAACATGTTATTAGATATTTACTCCAGGAGTATATAATGAGTTTGGAAATTCTAGAGAAATGCTTAAATAATGCATTACAATTAAGTAAAGCCATTAGATGTTAGTTGTCTAAAACAATTCCGGTGACTAAAATACGACTAAAACTAAAATGGCATTTTAATCAAAAGACTATGACTAAAAGTAAATCAAACGTTGACGTCAAAATGAACACTGCTTCAGGGTGCTATACTGGTCCAGGGCCATGGTACCTTTCTATTTTCCCCAGGACCCTGAAGACCCTTTTGAGGGTATGTCCACCATGACGGGTGAAGCCTGGATCTTTAATAGGCCCAGCGTTATGGATAAGAGTTTCCCTGTCTGCAGTTTAGTGGGCAGAGGATTTGGGAGTTATCCACTTTGGTAAGCCCTTCCATTTTGCCTTTTAACACTTCTCAGAGCGAGCTCCTTTTGAATTTGGAGGTTTGTCCCTCCTAACTGGACTGGAAGGGCACTGCATGGCTCCTCCTACATAGTGCCCACTTGTTCCACAAAGCACATTGCTGCATTCTGGCTGCCATCTTCTACAGAGACGCAGCCTCACAAACTCCTTCTCTGGGCACACAAACCCCCCTATCCCTTCCACACTCCGGAACCGTAACTATGCCACTGGTGATCCCCTTATTGGTAGTAATGGATCATAGGTGCAAGGGAGCTGGAACTAAACTGGTGAGGGGTTAGAAACTCTGTCAGGGTTTGCTGCCAGTTTCCTTGCTGGGAAGATTTTTTTTCTCACTTCGAGTGTGGTCACTGGAACAGGAAGTGAGGGGGAGCATTGCTTACAAGGACACAGACCGCATTGTTAAAACCAAATTATTGGTGATCAGTGAGAAGTGCCCCTTACATTGGGGTCAGTGGGAAGAATGTCCCTTACATTGGGGGTGTGGGAAGAATGTCCCTTACATTGGGGGTCAGTGGGAAGAATGTCCCTTACATTGGGGGTCAGTGGGAAGAATGCCCCTTACATTGGTGATCAGTGGGAAAATGCTCCTTACATTGGGGGTCAGTGGGAAGAATGTCCCTTACATTGGGGGTCAGTGGGAAGAATGTCCCTTACATTGGGGGGGAAGAATTTCCTTACATTGGGGGTCAGTGGGAAGAATGTCCCTTACATTGGTGATCGGTGGGAAGAATGTCCCTTACATTGGGGGTCAGTGGGAAGAATGTCCCTTACATTGGAGGTCAGTGGGAAGAATGTCCCTTACATTGGGGGTCGGTGGGAAGAATGTCCCTTACATTGGGGGTCAGTGGGAAGAATGTCCCTTACATTGGGGTCGGTGGGAAGAATGTCCCTTACATTGGTGGTCGGTGGGAAGAATGTCCCTTACATTGGGGGTCGGTGGGAAGAATGTCCCTTACATTGGGGGTCGGTGGGAAGAATGTCCCTTACAGACAGCAACAGTCAGTGCTCAAAAACCCCTGTCAACCTCGGGTTCCAGTGATCTCTGCATGAGAGTGGCTGGTTTTAAAGGCTCACCTTTTTTTGACAGTAGAATGGAAGAACTAAAGTGTGTGCGTGTGTGCGTGTGTGTGTGTGCGTGCGTGTGCGTGTGCGTGTGCGTGTGTGTGTGTGCGTGCGTGTGTGTGTGCGCACGTGCGCAACTTGAAATAGAGAATAGATCCACAAGGAACAGAATTAATGGGCACAGAGTATAAATGTTTAAATATATTTTTTATGTTTAAAAAGCAATTTAGCAAGTGACTCAGAAAGCACTGAGACCCCAGGATCAGGATGACAAACAATTAGCATGGTAAGAAGAAGTCAGCAGCGGAATCCCAGGTATCTTTTTCAGAAAAGGTTTTCTCACCAACTTGGTTAAAAATATGGAAGATACAATTACAATCAAGTATTTGAATAGCTTACTTGTCTTGTTTTTTGCTTTCCATAAAATATTTTGTATTCACTAGTCATGTGCCTCCATCTTGTAGGAAGATGATTGCTGACATAATGAACCCGGTGCCAGGATCTCTTTCATAGGTTTCTTTGCTTCTGTTATGAACTTCTCTGCATTCTCTTTCTTTGCAGTTTTGTTAAGGACTCTACAAGTGGCCTGTCTCATCTTCTTCCTCCCATCACTGCGCCGCATGCCAAGACGCCAGTTCAAAGCCAAGCCTGCCATTACTGTTATATATACTTATATATAGAACGATATATATCATATTTTTTTTTTTCTTTTTTTCTATTACTCGTTTTTCCGTTGGTGGAGAGAACACGTGATTAAGTTGAAGGCTTGTTTTGCCGTTTGCATTCCATGAAGAGGACCCAAGGCAAACTGGGGTTTGCTGCTTTGTAAAATCCATATCAGATTGTATAAAGTAAAGTTGACATTTGTCTCCAGTTTGTCTTAATCTGTACTGACGATTGTGATTCCTGCTCTTCAATTCTACATAATGGTTGTGCCTTCTATCTCCCTTCTTGCAGGTTACATGACGCATTTGGGGTTAGTTACTAGATCTTCATGGTGCAAATTCTGCTGCAGCTCTGCATAGAAACCAATCAGCTTCCAGGTTTTATTGCCAAAGCTTCATTACACAAGCTGAACTTTGAAGCTGATTGGCTACCGTGCGCAGCTGCAACAGATTCTGAGTGCTCCAGTTTTAGTAAATCTCCCCCCTCCTGGGTCCACTGCCTCTTAGGTGCTGGGCGGCCCTCAATGATGAGCTGCTCTGTACATCATTGTATGTATGTTAGTAGGGGGTGCGATGGTAATGCCCCCTGAAAGGGTGTCCTGCACTTGCAGATGTTTTCAGGTTTCTGGTGTAATCACATTGGAAAAGGATAATAATAAAAATATCAGCCTGTCTTGTGAGAGACACGATGACTGTAGCTTCCAAGCCCCTTTTGATACAAACCATTTGATAAATTGTTAAAATATAAAAATCAAATTTTATTTAAAAGGCATGCAAAGCCATTGTATGACCTGCATTAAAGGGTTACTCTTCCCTAACCAAAGAAATGTTTGTTATTTTTTTAGAAATATGAGATGGCCTACTTTGTGATTGATATACATTCAATATTGTTCATTTGTTCCAACTGTACAGGCTCTTGAGTTACCCGCTATACTTCGTTTTAAAGGTTGCAGTGAGGGATTGGTGGGCACACATATTTGCATATACATGGAATTCCAAGAGGCAGGGGGGAAACAATAGTTACTGGGTGATGTTTCTCTTTCCTTTGTTCCTTCTTCCCCCTAATAGCTCATTGCTTGGTCCAGCTTCATGGAAAGGCTGCGGTCTGATGTCTATGGGTATTGATACTATTTACAGATTGGATTGCTCTGATGACCTGCATTACAATACTAAGTGGAGGTGTAGTCCATAGCAACTAAGTGACACGTGTTGAAATGCTTTTCTTACCCTTAGCAACCAATGTCCTTCTTTTTCATTGTTGTAGTGTCAGAACATCCAAGAGTCTTGTTGCTAAGGAAACAGGAACGTTAAAGCGGAGCTCCACATCCTACAGGTTCACTTCCTACCTCTAGTCTATGAGTTACAGTTTTGTTTTTTTTGGATGGGTGGTGTTGTGGGGGGAACAAGTACCAACTCCCATCTGTTTTTACCTCCTCGCCTCTTTCAGCCTCCTAGGACACATCACATGTCCCAGGAGGCTCCAAGACTATTCACAAAGCACCATGCAGGCTTGCACATGTGCAGTGGGTACAGCCCACCAGTCTGCTCCAGTCTTGGGCCCCCACAGGCCTTTAACATGTGTGGGCATCACATTAGGTTGTAGACAACCTGCCTCTTCTGGTTACTCAGCCCCAGCTGGTTCCCAATTCCAAGATGGTGGCACCAGGGTAAGAGGAATTAACTGCCAGAAGACGGTGTTGGTCCCCAAGTACTGGTAAGTTAGCAGCTAAAGTAAAAAAAAAAAAAACATTTAAAAGTTCTCGTAGAGTGATGCCTGATGCATATACAATTCCAGCCAGGTGCCAGTAGTAGGTGCCAATCTCAGTCCATTGGTTCAGATACATTAGTATCCCAGGAGTTTTGCTGATGAAGCTGGCAGAAAGGAATCTTGGGTTGTGTAATCGGCCCTGCACCCAGCAAGGTTACTCCTTCCAAGGACTGCATGGAGGAAGGTTTTCTTTTCAGTCCTGGTAGAACAGTATGGTGGAAAGGGCTGCTCATATTTTTGGAGGTAATGGTACACGCCATCAGTCTTTGTCTAGTTCAGGGGTCTCCAAGCTATGGCCCTCCAGCTGTTGAAGTACTACAAATCCCATCATGCCTCTGTCTCTGGGAGTCTTGCCTGTGGCTATCAGAGTCTTGCAAGGCCTCATGGGACTTGCAGTTCCTCAACACCTGGAGGGCCATAGTTTGGAGACCCCTGATCTCCTGTGAGCAGACTCATACAACTGCATGGAGGAGCCCAGAGTCCACTTTGCCTTGAGTTACAATTAAAGTGTCTCTCAAAGGAAAACTTTGTTTTGTTTTCATTTTGGATAGAGTATGGAAGGGCTGTAACCCTGGTCAATTCTTGTTTTGCCATCTGTGTCCTATTAGGGACTAGCGTTGCTATCTCATCCCTTTAAACCCAAACACATATTAATGACGGGTTCTGAGGCTGATTTAATGCAGGTAAGGCACTGCGTGAGTTTAATGGCCGCCATAATCAGCCACAGAACCCGTGTCATTAATATGTGTTCGGGTTTAAAGGGATAAGGTGGCAAACCCTATTAGGGAGATTTCTTTTCACTTCCTATCCCATAGCCAAAACAGGAAGTGAGAGGAAATCCCTCCAAAGTGAGGGACTCCTATTGCGTCACCAGAACGAATGTCCCATTGGAAGATTGTGGGGGTTTACTAAAACCGGAGAGTGCAAAATGTGGCGCAGCTCTCCATAGAAAGCAATCAGCTTCCAGGTTTTATTGCCAATGCATAATTGCAAAAGCTGAGGTTAGAAGCTGATTGGTTACTTTGCACAGCTGTGCCAGATTCTGAGTGCTCCAGGGGTAGTAAATCCCCCCCATTGCGTCAGTCAAGTGGTTTGTTATTTTCACTATATTGGATATTCAAAGAATTCGCATTAATAAACACCAGAATTATGCAGCATCCTTCCTGGTGGAAAATTCCTCATCCCGGGTCCAGTCTGGATGTGTAAAGTGACATTTCCCATCATCACTTCAGATCTCTTTGTTGAAGGATTGATGCTCAGTCAAGTACCAGGTGGATCCATGAACCCCCGTATAGTTTTGTAGGCCCGAGTTTGAATCCCAATACTAGAGGACATTTATTCTCATATTGTGCAGGTTTGGCAATGAGAGATATCATTGGAACAGTTTTCTTAGGAGGTTCTTCTCTTCAGGCTAACACCATAAACCAACACTGAATATTAGCCGTGATCATGATTATTCCTTCAGACTCGAATATTACAGGGCTGGCTGCTGAGCCTCAATGAGAAGAATGAAATAAAAGTCACACAGAGGGATCGTTACAGATACTGGCACTGGGGGAGACTCCAGCAAGAATATTGGATCACCTGCCGCTGATCTTCATGAATCTGATAATTATGTGATAACAGGGAATGAGCACATTATTCAATCATCGGTTTATCTTCTAAGTCTGGATGTTCAATGGACTAGTAGCTGCTAAACCACCGAGCCACAGCTGATTTACAGGCCCAAAAACAAGAAAAATATTCTAAGTCCCACTTTTCACCTCCTTGTAATAAATGCTGAAGCACAAAGCTGCATTCATGCTGTAGTCTGGCTCAGGGGTTAAGCAGCCGCCCCATGAACCCACGATGCTTTTCAAGTTGCCGGTTCGAATCCTTTTGCCGCTGAGATCTTTTTTTACTCCTGAAATAGTATAATGAACCCATGACCTGCTGAGCAGAGGTGAGTAGCTCAGAGGATAAGAGTGTTGACCCAGGGCGCCGTAGACCCGAGTTCAAATCCATGAAGCACTGTAGACTCCTGAGGGCAAATACCTGAAAGTGCTGCAGACCCCGAGTGCCAACCCATGAAGCGCTGTAGACTCCAGGGGCAAATACCCAAAAGCGCATGTAGACCACAAGCTCAAATCTCTGAGTGAAAGTCTGGAGGCCATGGACAACCCACCAGTCTGCTCCAGTCCCAGGTCCCCACAGACCTGTAACATGTGTGGGCATCACATTAGGTTGTGGACACCCCCCTCCTTGGTCCACGGTCTGTGACATCACTGCAACATATATAAATAGAATGGGCTGTCTTACCAGGGCAGCCCATTCAAAAAGCAGGGACTTGGGGTTTTTCTTGGCCTCATATATATACACCCCCACCCAGGCACTGTACAGTACCTGAACCCTCTGATGGTGGGACAAGGTAGTGGGTCAGAAACATACTCCACCTCACCATCAGGGGGCTCAGGCACTGCACAGCACCTGGGACACACAAGGCTTCCCTCAGAGGGATTTGAACTCAGGTCTCCAGCAGACCAGTCAGAGCTCTTACCCTCC